CCAAGATTCCGCACAACCTCGTGCGGTGTAAACCTGCCACAAACCGTACACGGATAGACCATCTATAAGAAAATGAAGAAGTCAAGGCAGAGTCTGTCTGACAGACACGGTCATCGACAGACACGATCACCGTTGGAGGCGGCTGCCTGGACCGTCGTTGAAGGCGTTGTCCCCATACGCGACATGTCCGTTGCGCGTTTGTGCCACGAACTTGGTGGGTAGTGTACTCGCCATGAACAGCCAAACGTGAGGGCCGCTGGCACAACATCTCCTATCATAGGAGTCCTATGCTACCTTCATTCTCTCGAAGTTCATCGCGGTCAGCGCCCCGTTGTTGAAAATTTCATGCGGCTGAACGCTGAACGTCAGTCGTTTTCTCCTGTCAGTTCAGTCTTCTCGTCCGATCCGTCTCCCCTGTACTTCTATGTGGTTCACCGTCGGAATTCTATCTCTCGTTATCGTGGCTCAGGGTGTGGTCAGAGGCTCGAGCCAGGTGACTGGAGTTGGTGACATCGAGCAAGCCTTCCGGGAGTTCATAAGGACGTGAGATGCACCGTCAGATTGATATCGTTAGTTGGCGTACAGCCACGCAGGTCCCCTTCTTAGAGAGGTCCTCTATTCCAATCTCGTAGGTACAACAAGAAGTATGGTTCGAAGGAACAGTACGAGGTTGCCAAGGCTGCGTTCATGCATAGTTTGAGGGAGATAAACGATCTGAAAGCCTATGGTGGATGATGCCGCACCCACGATGCGAACGATTATGCTCCACTGTTGTTTAATTCAGGCGATATATCTCATGAGATCGGCCTCAATGAGCATGCTGATATACCACGTGAAGTATTCAATAAAGCGTTAACGTGTGTTCAGGATCCTGAACCCGAGGAGGAACGAACATCCTCGAATATCAATGGATCTACCTGTGAGGCTACTCTCTTATCGCTTCATGCAGAGGATAACCTTCCCAGACCTAGAAGACAACTTGAAGGCTCCTCCTGCGTCGGTAGATTGGGAGGCTCTAGGCGCGTTGGGGCCAGTGCGAGATCAAACAGAAGATTGTGGTAGCTGCTACGCGATAGCAGCCGCTGGTGAGTCTCCAGTTGGATCGAATACTTTGGCGCGAAACCTCATTCGTGCCCGTCTTTGTTCATTGCCTTGGCTGCTCCTCTTCAGTCGTGTTGGAAAGCCGTTTCAAGATACACGCTGGAATTCCTAAAGTCGTCCCATTCTCAGTTCAACAGATAGTCGACTGTAGTCGGTCATATGGCAATATGTGAGTCGACGACGATACTTTTGTCTGATCGTGGATCCTCGATAAGGAATCCATCTTGTACGTGTTCTCACAGTCATTGCAACTCAGTGTACTTCAGGGGTTGCACTAAAGGTTCAGTGAGGCTTTCATTACAATATGTCATAGCGGAGGGTATCGTCAAGAATGTCAGCTACCCTTATGAGGCTAAGGTCGGATTGTGCAAGAAACGAATCACCACTGATGTGAAGCAGCAGTGTCTGAAAGTGAGGCAGCTGTCTCGAGCGAATGTCTGAGGTTTTTATGCAATGCAAGTTCTTGTACCACATGAATGTATCACTGTTGATGCTCTTCGTCGAGGAGATATCGCCTGGACAGACTTCGTCCAAAGGGCGCAAAAAAGGATCGAAGTGATGAAGTCGAGCAATCTAGCAGAAGGGGTTTGACCCCAACCGTTCGAGCCTTTCTGATTTTTCTCAGCCTTGGCAATTAACTCAAACGGTGACCATACCACCAGCTGATGAAGAAGCTATGATAAGGAATGTGGCAATCGGGCCCGTGGCGGTCAGTATGTATGCTTCGACTCCCGCATTCCGACATTACCCTGAGGGCATCATAACGGGTGGGAGCGTACTCGATGTTGTCGAGCATATCACTGCCCAACCTTGTAGCCAAGGATTGTGAAGCGTTGGATCCAGGCCATTACGTGATCATCGTTGGGTATGGCACTTCTTCAAAAGGAACACCGTGAGTGCAATGTACCAGTGTAATTCCTGCTGGTTAATTTGTGTCGTAGTATTGGAAAATCATGAACACCTGGGGGGAGTCTTGGGGAGTGAAAGGCTTCGGCTATATCGAGCGAACCGGAAACCAACCAGGTAACGCATAGTGACTATGCGCGATTCAAGCTAGACCTTGTTCAAACCGCGCATATTTTGTCCCCAAGGTTGCTGCATATCATATGCAGGTC